TACATTGGTAGATAAAAATCTAGTGTTTGACACATGCTATGAGGCAATTAAGTTAATGTGAATTTAATCCTGTTTATCCTTATAAGGAGGAAATTCTTCATGGCAATTTTAAGAGAGAAAAAATTTAAGAAGCACCAAGACAAATCAATTAAAATGAAAAACACCTTTATAGTCAGTAATGACATTTTCAATTACTCTATTTTTAGGAAACCTTCCTATACAAGTACTGGACTTCTATAATGAGAAGAAAATGTTAAGTTAATAGTAGTAGAATGAACATATCAAGAGTTATTCTCGTATGCTACTATTTACATTGAACTCATTAATTTCTGGAAACTTTACCAGCAATGATTTTAAGTTTTCAACAAATGTTTGTGTTAAAGCAAAATTAGAGTATACACACACACACACACACACACACACAGAGTCATTAATCTTGATGCATGACATAAGACAAAAATCTCTATAGTAGGTGCTGTTGATGCCTCATCCCATATATTCAGCAATTTTAGTTGACAGTTTCCAGCCTATCCTCAGCTTTTCATTTAAGCCTTTCTTTCCTCTTGTCTTCTGAGGAATTTTATAAACCACTTGACTGAGGTATGAATGACAGGTAAAATGCTGTAGATATTTAATGTATACAGTTCCTTGAGTCTAGGGATAAGTATACATCCATGAAGCCATCACTACTATCAAGGTCGTAGATATATCCATTACCTCCCAACCCTTCCTTCCATCCCCTCGATTATTATGATGATGATGATGACTTTGTTTGTGCTTGAGCTAAGAACACAGCATAAGATTTACCCTCTTAGTAAGTTTTAAGAATATAATACAGTGTCATTGAGGACTTTATTGGTAGGAGAACTTGCTTAGATGCAGTTAGGGACAACTTATAAGTTTTAGGGAGTTAATATCCCTCAGTGAACGCTCAAATCATAGAGAATGGTGCCTTCAATGAATAGATGTAAGAGCTCCTTTCTTCTTGAGGGATGATTCTAAAGCCTGTTTCATATAGTTTTCCAGAGAGTTCTTAGAGGGCTGAGTGCCAGGAGCCTATAGCAGTAATATCATTAACACAAGCTTCTCTCACCTGCCTCATGCTTTCTTACTTGCACTTCCTGGGATCATTTCTCACGTATGTTACCTGTACCCATGTTCCTGTCTCTGAGTCTGTGTTTAGAGCCACTCAACCCTGGCATAGTGGAATGAGGAAAATATAATTCCTTCATTTGAGTTACCTTTGTTGTTGAAAGAATCAATAATAGAGACAGAAAACCTGGTGAAATTGACCAACCTATACTGGCAGACTTTCCATTTAATTATTTTATATATGCAGATCAAAATCTTCCTATGATAAATACCTCTATATTAAAATTACCTAAATAAAAACAATTTAAGTGAGTTTAAGATTTATGTTTAGTGATAGAGAATAGAATAGAATTCCAGAATATCAAAATATTTGGAAGATCCGTCCAATTAATTTTTAGAGAATTTCAACTGTTCCTATTTGTTAGTTGTTCAAAAAAAAGGAAATGATCCTAGTAAATATACTTATCACTATTATAACTAATATCTTCTCTACTGAAAAACTTGTGGTTGGTTTAATCTTTAAAGTTACTTATCTTCAATGAATACTGTTCTGAGTAAATTCTGTCTTTAGTTTCTGTCTTCTTGCCATAGAGCATAAAGCGGTTCCCTAAGAAAAAACCAATTGAGGTGATTCACGCTACCTGCCTTATAATAAATTTGTCTCTATTTCCTTTTAAATTAACTTTGGATATTTATTAGATCTATAATACAAGATCACTTACAGGACATGAGAGTGAGATTGTGCAGTTGGGCTTGCCCACAGCCCAGCTCATTTTGAGTAATTGTAAGTAGTAATACTCATACTTTTTTTATTGGCTAATACTGTAAGGCGGCATTTGCCATCAGCATCCTCATATAAATTCACCATTGCTACAGCATCTGTTCCATCACACAATGTTCTATTTCTGTGTCTCACACATCTAGCTAGAGAGGAACAAATAGAGTATTTTAAAACAAGTTGCCAGTGTTTCTAAATGAGAACTCAAATCATCTTTGCCAAAAATGTATGTGACGGAACAGGAATAAACTATGACTTGTGACTTTAAAGAATATAAAAAATGGTTAATTGTTTCATTTATACTTAAAGATTAAGATTATGCAATTAAAAATTTGGAGGGCAGGGAGATAAAGGAAGATGTGGGGATAAAAGATGCAAAAGACAGTGTTACTTCAGAAAAAGTGATATGGGAATAAGTTTCTGATCTGGTGGAAAGTATCTCAAGTGAAGTTAATTGAAATCAAAGATTAAGGAAATATATAGTCTCTTGTCTCTTTTAGAAAAGGTGGTTAGAGGACATCTTGAATGGTTAAAAGATATTAGCACACTTGTGTCAAAGCTAATTAGACAAACCATCCCTAAGAACCAGAAAGAACAGGATTCTGCGATCCAAAAGCAGAGTGTAAAAGTCTATAAGAGAATCGCTAACAGGCCAGTCCCTGGGAGGGCTTTCCATTGTGTTTCATTGCAAGCATTGTATTTTGATTCAAATCCTACACATAGCTTACATGACTTAATGGAGGGAAGACTGCTTTTTCTTTGTTTAAGAAGAAGTGTCGCATAAATTATTACCATGATGTTAAATTATTCTTCTTACTGCTTTACAACAATTTGAGAACATTTTGCATGAGAAAAAATATGTCCAAATAGAAATGAAGGCCACCCAATGTGTGAAAGGTAGCAGCATTTTGTGGCACATGGTGTGTCGATCAAAGAAAGAAAAGACATGACAAAACTCCATTTAGTCATGTATTTATTCAATTAATTTATTTAAATAGCATTCACTTCAGACTAAGTAGATATGCTGTAGAAGAAGTAAGAGCTTTGAGTTTTTATTGCTATCCACTGAACATAAAACACTGCCATTATCTCATTATGTGTGTATTTTAATTAAACAAAGGCTAGAAAATAGTTCTGAAAGTGTAGAGCATATATTGTATATAATCGTGGAATCATGCTGTATTTAAATGAAAATTTTAAATGATAGTATGTTAAGCTATGAGGAATTTATCTTCTGTACAAATAAATCAGTAAGTGAGTAAACCAGTGGAAATAGTTGAGTAAATGCAACCTTTTATTGTAATGTTGATATGATCTTTTCTTTCAACAAAGTTACAGTCTAGTTTTAACGATAGCTCATATTAAAATAATGAGGAAATACTAAAAAGGTAATGATTAGCTATTGTACTCAGCATTAAATCTGATACTATCTCATGGTGTGAGTATATTGAGGTAATTTTACAGGGTCCTGAGTCAAAAGCCGTGGATTCTTATTCTGCCACTGCAATTTCATAATGGTAATTTTGACTCTCATTGTGTGCATCTCTAAATAACCAAATGTTCAAAAGAGATACAGGGTGTCAGAGAGAGAGGAAGAGGCTCAAATGAGGCAATGCATGTGAAAGTTGACAAAAGTAGTTTGATTTTTCATCATCATTAATATAGGATTTCAGAAGGGTAGATTCAATGATTTATTCATCTCTTTATTGAAAACACATTTACTGAGCCCCAATTATACAGCAGGCACCTTTCTAGGTGCTGGATACATATCACAGAATAGACCAATCCCCTACTCTGGGCAAGCTTACATTCTAGGGGAGGTAATAGAAAATGAACAAAGAAACAGACGTCAAATATCACATATTTCAAGCACAGGAAGAGAATAAAGCAAAATAAGCGGATGCAGAGTGACAGCTTTTTGGAGAACTGATGAAGATTATTTTGGGTTGGTTACTTTTGACAACTGCAGGCAGGAAAGTGGCTCTGAGGAGCGGAATTTGCTTGCCCTTTGTTGGGAGACATTTACATTTGTAATGGAGATCTCCATCTGTAGGGGTGTCTCCCTCCCTGCACCAGGAAGAGGGGGGGATGACCTTATCTCTAGAAACTCTTAACGGGGAAGGCAAGGACATCCTGACTTAATCTGATCTGATTCTTATCTAAAGTTATAGGACCACCCAACAACCAGACCCCACCTGCACTGATACCATTTTAATGACTTTTTTTTACAAATTCTTTCCTTTGTGTTGTAAAGAGATAACTCACATACCTATGCCTTAAATTTAGCCCTACCCTCAACCCATGCTTTGAAGCTCTTCCTGCCCATGGGTCCTGTCCCCATGCAGCAGCTCTTTACTCCCCATGGGTCCCGTCCCCATGCTATTCCACACTATTCTCTGAATAAAAGAGCACTACTGCCAGACCTTGAGAGTCCAAGAAATCTTTCTTTTGACTCCTCGACTCAACAAGGCCACATTGGAACTATTTTAAACAGGGCAATCAGGGAAATCTTTTCTGAGAGATGTCATATATAAAGAGATCTGAATGAATTTAGGGTGAAAACTATGAGGGTTTTTAGAGTAAGAGAGTTTCAGGAAGATGGAAAAATAAATGCAGAAGCATTAGGAGAAATAAGCTTGGTGTACAGGGAAAAGAGCAGGGAGGATAATGTGAGTGAGGGGCAGGATGATAGGAGATGGAATTGGGGTTAATGGAGCAGGGCTTAATGTGAAAAGAGGATGGGGATACTCAGAAAAGGTTTAGAGAGAGTACAAAACTTTACCAGGATCTGGAAGGAAAGTTGAGATTTGTGGAGAAAGAGAGGAAAAGGCAGGGACTCCATGATGAGGGAAACATGGAAAAGGAAGTGAGTAAACAAACATTAACATATTCAGGGAATTAGGCTCATGATGGGAACTCTAACAGGTAGTGAGCCAAAGCAAGAATTTAGAAATGAGCAGCCATTAAACAGCAGTTTGATATAAAAATTATCCGGGCAATAAGAAGGGTGGTTTGAAATGATGAGCACCTAAGGTAAAGTTGTGTTAATTAACCTATGGGTCAAAGGCACCCACAAGATGATATATTAGCTAGAGTAGGCTAACCGATTTAACAAACCAACCACTAAATCTCACTGGTTTTACACAGTTATTTTATTTTTGCTTACATCACAGAGGAGAAGACCCTCCTATGGGTCTTGCTCTATACAGTCATCCACACCCCCAGAAACCTTCCAGATCGTGGCTTTGCTTCCTTCTGAGTCCTTGAATTCCTCTCCATTCAGTCAACTGATGGGAAGAGCAAAACCTAGGCATTGGAGAGTATCTATTGTCTATTCCAGGAAGGAGAGCTCATTACTTCATCCTCAATGAGCTGGATCTAAGTCAAGAGGCCACATGTCACTGAAAAAGAGCCTGGAAAATACAGTCCAGTTGTTTGACCAGGAAGAAAAGCAAAACAGAGAAAACACAGTCAGAGATACACACATGTTAGATATGAGTAGGTAGCACAAAGGAAGTGAAATCAAAAAGAATATATGTATTAAAAGGAATAATAGAATATATAAAATAAATACCACAAAGGAAACATAAAACATCCAATGTCATAGATGGTCTCTTATTTTAATATTTCTATTCAAGTAAATATAAAAATTGTCATCATCAAAAAGCTTTTGGGTAAACATCATTAGGGGAAATTCTTCATAAAAAAATGTTCTCTCTTTTATTGAAATATTACCTTTTGAATTGAATTTCGTATTTTCTAGTTTCCTACCCTCTCCTACAGTACATCAGTGATGACCACGGCATTTCAATAATGGGATTATTTTTTATCTTTTATTTTTTCCGTGTTTCCTAAGTGAATAATGCTGGTTCATTATGTTCTCATTCTACAATGCAATATGTGTACACATCTGTGTGATTTTTATTTATTGAAAAACTTTTTTTCTTACCAATTAGAAACAAAGAGAGCTTAAAATGAGTTTTCCTCTTAATTTAAGGCAGAGGTGTTACGAAAACGGCAATTTGGTACTTGGAACTATTTGGAAGCAAAAATGAAAGTAAGATTTTAAAATATAAAATAATATCATTTAAAGATAATCTAATAGTTGACAGTATATCTAGAATGGATGTTAAAATCACATACGGCCTTACAAATTTGATCTATGGAGTGTGACTTATAATGACTCATGAAAAGATGGTCGATTTTTCTACACCTTAAATATCTGTGTAGTAGTAGTAGTAATAATTATAATAAAACAATTTTATTAGAAAATTTATTTTGACATAGAAGACTATCCTCAAACACATGATCCTTTAGGTAGCAATTCTTCTGATCTGAGGCACTTCACAGCATTATTGCTGATAGCCTTCAGGTGTGCCAGTAATTAAATACATATGTGTGAAAGAACTGTTAGTTTTACATCAGATCTAAAAACCTTCTATCATTCCTTCATATTTATTTTCTCTCTTTTTCCTACCAGGACACTACTATCTCGTGGCTAAAATTTGACTGGATCTTATTGTTCAAAAATAATAACTTCTGATATAGGCCCACGCTATAACGATAGTTCTCGTCTAAAGCAGTGGTTTTCAAAAGTATTTTTTTCCTCATATATCCCCTACAAGAATTTAGAAAAAACAAGTATTTTCAAGAAAGTTTTCAGTTTGACAATTAAATTGTAGCAGTTCAAAACAGCAAAAATATTTGAAATTTTGCCTCCTTGAATATCAGCATTTTAAAATGGACACGTTATGTCATTCTTTCATTTACATCCAATGAGATCCAAATATCATAATGATTTGATATATAACATCACTATTTTAAAAGAAATACATGAAAAAGCTTAAAATTGCTTGGTTTGTACTTCTTTAGATCAATTCAATCCCAATTCCTCCACGGAATTTTATTCAAATGTATAGAATACACAAGTCTTTTGTTGAAAATCTTTATTTCTCTACAATAAGGTGTTTAAATTTAAAATCATTTTTTAAAATGCCTGTGAGCGTAAGACAGCAAATGTTAAAAAAAATATTTTAGATTGACATATCTTTAATATTATATATAAATATAACAAACAAGGGATCAAAGTTCTTCTATCATGTATCCATGGATAAACATTATTTATTGTGAGAAGAATGCAGAGTTCTACATCCATTCTATTCCTTTAGTTATTAAAGAAATAGGTCTGAGCGTGAAGAAACTATGTTCATATAAGTAAATAGATTTGAACAGACTCATTAAAAACATATAACTCAGTTCTTTAAACCCTTTCTGAGTTTTGTGCTAAAAATAACATGCTGATTTCCCATTAAAATATATTTAATAACCTGTCATCTGACGACTAAATTTGGTTCTCCTTCAATTCTGTTGAAAAGTATGAATTGGAAACAACCTGAAAAAGCATTTGTTCTCTAGTCATTAGAGTCATTCATTTTCTCAACTCCAGCATGAATATCTAGTTTATCCTCTGTGTGTATGTGTGAGCGTGAGTGTGAGTGTGAGTGTGTGTGTGTGTGTGTGTGTGTGTAAAACCCCGGAGAATTCTACATCCTGGAACAATATACTGTAATTAGCCTTAGGATGGATGAGAAGTGTTCCTTCTACCATTAAGTGTAGATAAATGTACTAGAAAAAGGAGATGTACGAAAAAAATCTCCTCGACTCAGGAACTTTCTCAGTCATATGAAAGAATCCATATGGAAGAGAGGCTCAGGAAATTAATTTCCTTAAAACCATCTGTGCTTATGTCTTATAGCCTGGGCTATACACACCCTACTCGGAAGACAACTGGTCTAAGGATGCTGTCTGCAACCTGGGGACGATCCCCTGGAGAGTTTGAATATGCTGACTGGCACTGATTCATGATGTAGTCTCTTTTGGGGGGCTCACATATCACAGATGGCATGCAGTGTGTCCTGTGTAAAGGGTAGAAGTTCCACATCCTGGAGAGATTGACAGCATCACACAATCTCTTATTTGCCTCAGAATATTATGACTTATTGAAGTTTACTGTGTATAGTTGAGTGGACTTCCACACTATGTATTTTACAGTTTTAATGAATAAAATACTCACAAAATAGACAAGAGGCCTACAAAGACTTCTGCCAAATAAACATGTATTAAAGATAATATATGATTAATAATCCACACATGAGCAAACATCAGAAAATGGCAGAACTGATACTTATCAATCAAGTTCAATCTTTTGGTAAGCCACACTTGAAAGACAAAAAAAGTAATGATCTAAACTGACATGACAAGGGATCAGCAAAAGGTTTCTAAATCATCAGAGAGACAATTTGAAGTATAAGTGTTCATATGTAATTAATAAAATCTTTAAAATGTTTTAATCATTGTTAGCACCTTTGTATTTTGTGATGGTTTACAATGTACATAATACATTAGTAAAGAATTAGGTGTACATAATTTATAAATAATTAAACATGTTTTGGGATATTTGTCCAAAAATATTTTCATGATGGGATGGGTTATCAAAAAACTTTGGTGACCACTGGTCTAGAGAAAGTGCTAGTGTTAACTTTTGTATATGATAGAAAAAACAGTAGCTGTCTATCTAGAAATTTTGTCACTATTATTTCCTCTCTATAATTTGCACTAAATGGCAAATGTAGAAGAAGCTGTGAGGTTTTGGGACAGTGTATTATCAACGATGCTAATGACAATATAATTATGCCACTCTACACATGTAAATAGTGTAAATGATATGATTTTCAAATAATTTATATGTAAATAAATACAATGAGTTTTTTTGAACACACAATATAAAGATTGGAAAACGTATGTAATTAGACACAATTTTCTTTCAGGATGAGTCATTTCCCAGCAACATTTTTAGTCAATGTAAATTCCAATAGAACTTCCAAAATATTTGAGCCATAAACTGAACACATCTTTGTCTCAAGCTAGTGTCCCTACCACAGAGAAGCAAAGGCCCCTGCAGAAACAAACAAATCTTTGCCATTTTTACAAGTTTGCCATAGCAATATTCATGAATTCCTTCACAGATTCAGAGTTTGCATTTAAGATTTTCTGTGTCTATGTTGCATAGCTCTGGGCAGGAGTTCAATTTAGCGATAACGTTACCATTAGTGTATATGCTTCAGGTTAACAAACATGGAACAATTAATATTTTCATTTCACAACTGACCCAGTTAGATACTTCATTTCTAGAAGATGCATAACTTGAAATACCACTGTGCTTTAATATAATCAATGGGTAACTGAAATGTGTTCCAACTGAGTTCCTCATTTCAGAGCTGAGAACAGCAATCCAGACACGAAGACCACAAAGAAAGTGCTCTACAACTCAAAGCAAAATTCACACAACTTAGAACACCAAACACCTGAAAAAAAAGACTGAATGAGTAAATGAAGTTTCTGTCCCTATTAGCAATTCTCAAGCTAAGGCATATACAAACAGACTGGAGATAAGGTTGAAGCTGAAACTGTCTTGAAAACAATGAAAAATCTAGTTCTAGAAATGACTATAGGAAAGAATTGTAAAAATTGTGAAAGAGGCATTAAGCTTTTTCAGCCACACTTGCAAACACAATTATAGCAGTTTTACCAGTAGTTGTGTGTGAATTTGAATAGCAATTATACATGTGCACGCAGTTTCATTAGAATTTAATGCATGTCGTTCTAAAATATGTTATTAACTAAAAGTTAATTGTTTTTTCTTTAAATAAAACAGTGAAACTGATTTCAGTTACTCATAACTAAAACAAGATGTGTTTTTTTTCTTTTTCTCTTTTTAATTTAGACTTCTATTCAAATATGATAGCCAATATACCATCAAAAATTTTTCATTAAGCTAGAGGGAAAAACATACTTGACTCAAAAAATGAAAGTCCAACATAAACCCAGGTCCAAGTATCAATCTAGATTTAATCCTTGATATCATAGTGACTTCTATGATTTCCTTAAGGTAATTCTAAAAACATTTAAAGCAGTTCACCTCAAATTGTGTCTTTCCCAGTTTTGCTATTATTCCAAAATATAACCCATTAAAGACTGTTCAGTGAGCAAATGGGAAAAAGTAAAAAGTAGGGGAAAAATGCATCATGTATTTATTTATAAAATCCATATTATTTTCACGTATTTTGGGTGTTACTGGACTGAAAATCTGTATGTCTTCTAAATGCAAGGATACTTAAAAATTAGCATTTTTATTTTCAGCATTTTGAAAGTAAATATATCATGATCTTAGAGTTTGAAAACACTCCTAACATATTCAAGGATGTGTGAATTAGACAATTCTAAAAGTAGCTATTACAAAATCACAAAGTATGATCATTTATGAAAAGTTTTTACCTACAAATAAGGAGGCTGATAACATGAAAAAAATCTATTTAACTCAATTCATAAACATGGTTTGAATATATACACATCTCAAATTATTCTAGACATTGGCAACACAAACTACTAGTGCATATTTTCTACCACAAGATATCATATAGGACAGGAAAGAGTCATTAGTATCACCAAGTCTAAATGCTACTTTGGAAGTATTATAAAATGAAAGAGGATACAGTCATTCATTCTTCAAGTTTACAACCTATTGGTAAATACTTGAATAAGAAGTGATATTTGAATAGATCATTATAGACAGAGAAGGAATTCTGCAGGCAGAGAAGTCAAAAGGAACTTACATTCCATCCCATTGCTAACATCGTCTTGTATTTTCTCTCCATCATTTCAAATATCTAAATCATTCTCAAGCTTTCTTATCCCTCAGGTTTTACTTGAAAGGGTATTTTCTACAAGAGATCATCCATGAACCAACGATACTAAACAGTTTTCCCTGTTATTCAGTTTAAGTATCTTAACTTTTAATCAAGGAATTTAAGCTGCTCCTGTTTATTTCTTTGACATTATCTTTGGTCCAACGCATAACTGTATTTTATGCTTTTTGGGGGTTCCTTTTTGTTTTACTGACATTTCTTTGTGTATTGATTTTAAAATGAAGGTGCTCATTTCAACTACTTAAAGATTTTGACATTTGTTTAAAAAAACTAGAATTATATTAATATTAAAATTAAACTGTTTATTTTTAGACTTCTTTACTCATTTTCCTTACATTACTACTTACATAAAAGTAGCACTTTTCCCAGCTCATATTTAATTTATCTTGAGGTTACAAACTCCGTATCTAAATAAATAAATTTATCTTTCAAAATTTTTTTAGACAAACATTTTATTTTCAGGTTATAATTATGATAGTTTTTTACATGCATTAACATCCTACCCTTTTCCATAGACTTTTGTGCTTTTATACATTTATCTTAATTTTTAGCTGTTGAATGTTTCCAGTCATTCCTTAGCTCATATATTGTTCATCTCTTGGTGATATAAGAAATTTCTTCCAGAAAATTTTGAGGAAAATATATTTGGGTGTTATTCTATTGAAGTTATACAGGGCTCTGAATGTTTCCTTCATACATGAACAATGTCTTTGCTGGGCATAACAGTTTTGAATTGCAATCATTTTTCTATTAAACCTCTACTGACTTTGTTTCACTGTCTTCCTACATTTATTATTGCACAGAAAAAAAACTGAAAAGAAAAAATCATGAACTCCTTAGAGAAAGAGCACTATAGAAATTTAACAGTAAAGTAAATGAACGGCTTACTGAGAAATCTGTTGTCAAAGGAGCACCACTTTCCACTTTGGAGAGGGGAAGGGCGACAATATTCATCCTCTTGCTGAATCTGGAATATTTCAATTGAAAAATTTTATAAATATTGCAGAGATCAAGTTGGCACTATCCAGTTAAGATTAAATTGTTGTCTTACCCTTATAATTCTTCAAATCCATTTCTAAGTATATAAGTTGAGATAAATTCTCACAAAGCATGTACAAATATATTCCTTACATTGCCAACCGTAGAAAAACTGGATAATTAAATTGTGCATTAACCTACAGATGAAATACTATAAAACTACATAACTAACTTAAAAAGATGCATATTTATTGGCATGTGTAGAAGTTGAAAATATAATTATGATATGAAAAATACAAATTGAAGAGTGTTACATATTTAAATATTTGTGAAAGACTTAAAACCACTCAAATTATATTATTTTTATTTTTTATTTAAATTAATGTTATATGTGCTTATAATTAGATTCTCAAGTTCTATAAAGTTTACTGATAAAACAGTGGATCACTGTCTCTGCCTTTGACATCCCTATGCCCAAAATCAACCATTTTGACCCGTTTAGCTTTTTATTTTTGTATATAACACTATATCTCTAAATAACAAGTACATACTTCAGAATTTTGATTTATTTAAGGTTTATACATTATCTACTGATTTTGTAATAAAGAAGATAAGGATTTGATTCTCTTTCATCATTCCTCTCCATAACCATTCCATCCCATCCTACCATCACTCCTATTTATCAAAATTTTTATTAGATCTCCATTCACCATTTGTGTTGTTATTACTATGCGAATGCTATTAACAGGTCATTCAAGAGGTATCATATGGGGCCGGCCTGGTGCTGTAGTGGCTAAGTTCATATGCTCCACTTCAGTGGCCCAGGGTTTGCAGGTTCGGATCCTGGGCGTGGACATGCGCAGGGCTCATCAAGCCATGCTGTGGGGGCATCCCATACAAAAACATAGAAGAAGATTGGCACAGACGTTAGCTCAGGGACAATCTTCCTCACCAAACAACAACACCACCAACAAAAAAAAAAAAAAAGAAAGAAAGAGGTATCATATTACTTGTCCTTTCCTTAAAATTTTGTTTTCCCTGAATAATTGTCTTGTTCTTTCTACCTCCCACTAAAATAAACTCAAATTGCCTGCTAATTGTGTTAAACTCTTCTGCTTGCATTAATATGCATCAAGCATTCTATCAATTTTATCTCTTTAGAAAAATCTTTCCAAGAACCTTCTGATCTCTCCAATCAGGACTGTTTAGCCTCCCTGCCTGGGTTACAGATTTCATCTCAGGCTCATAATTGACCATATTCTGAGAATTCTATTCTTCTTTATCTCAGTGCTGGAGATATATTTTCTGAATCCACATATAACTATTTCTCGATTTATGCCCTTATTTTGGAACAGCATATTAACCAGTACCTTCCTAAGAAAGGTTGAACAATAAATACTAAAAAATATAAATTTATTCAGTCTTCACGCATATTGATAATTCAGCTGGGGGATGTAAAATTCAAGGTTAGAATTATTTTTTCTTCTGAATTTTGAAGACATTGTTCCATTGTGTTCTATTATCCAGTGTTGCTGTTCACAAAGTGATTCTGATTCCTGACTCTCTCTATGTGTACTTTGTCGTTGTTATGTTTCTCTTTCTCAAAGCTAATAGACTCTTCTCTTTTTCATCATTGTTCTAAAATCTCATGTCAATGTGCCTTTCCATTAGTCTATTTTTATCCATTTTACTGATCACTTGGTATGGAGTATAGGCTTTCAATATGCAAACTTGTGTCCTTCACTTTTAGATGTTTTACTTTAACTATTTCCTTGATAGTTTTCTTTCTTTCATTATCGTTTCTCCCCTTCTGGAATTATTATTTTATAATTTTGACCTTCTGATAAGTCCTCTGAATTTCACATAGTCACTCTGCTTTACTCCAGGTTTTTGACTCCTTGCTTCATTTTCTTCACTGTTTAACACCCTTTCATTGAATTTTTCATTTGAATCACATATATTTAATTTTCAATTGCTCTTTTCTTGTACTGTTCCATTTTCATGTATTGTTCCTGTTTCACAGATTCAAAGCTGAGTAGGCTGGCAGTTCTGGAGTTCCATACGCAAAAGTCATGAGTAGTGAGCACACTTCCCAAGATGTCCCCCATGTCCTCACCTCCTGATGTTGACATCCTTGTGTAACCTTCTCCTCTTGAGTGTGGGCCGATCTAGTGGCTGCTTCCAATGAATTAAATAGGCAAAACTGATAGAATATAATTTCAGAAATTAGGTTGTAAGAGATTTTACTTACCTGCACACTCTTTCACCTTCTTGACTTGCTCACTATGATGAAGCAAGACATAATGTTGAAAGGACTCACATGGCAATAAACTTAGGATAGCCTCTGACCAAGGGCCTACAGGGAACCAAACAAAGTTCGTTTTGTTCTGCCAACAAAGTGAGAGAACTCAGAAGTGAATCCTTTGCCACTAAAATGACTATAGTTCCATCCAATACCTTGATTTCAGCCTCTGAAGTACCATGAACCATAGCATCCAGCTAAGTAGTGCTGAGTTCCCAGACATACAGAAACTGTGATGTGATCGATGTTGTTTCAAGCAGCTGAATGTTGGGATAATTTGTTTCACAGCAATAGATAACAAACATAACATATAATATGCAGGATGCTACTCTTTTTTTATTCTGCCTGATATAAACTAGAACATAGGTCTTCTGTTTGGCTTTTTTCAGAGAATAAAAGTCCAAGTCTGAGTAGGGTAATATACCCAAATGTGTAGATTAGAGAACAGGATCTTGGCATCCAATTCTTTTTAAAACACACTTTCAATCAAAACTCATGTTTTTATTCCATTATTCCACTATCAGAGTTACCTAATGCCATAAATTTTGGAGCCTTCTTGGAACTTGTTGTAAAAAGTAGATTGATAACCAGTTTTTCCACCTGTTGAGCTAGGATTCAACTTTCTGGGGTCTCTTAGATTATTTATCACTCATCCATTTGCAGCCCACCTTCCAAAAATGTTTTTCTCGTGTCTCCTTTCCTGATCTCTTGCTCCTTATGAGTTTGTGTTTGTTTTTCTAATTCCCTTTATTAGTAATTTTAGTAGAGTTTCATAGGAAATCTAAACAGGGTGAATGTGTTCAATATATTATCTCTTGTACACAATGCACAAATTCCTCAATATTTTTAATGATTTTAAGCAAATATGGGAGCTATAAACATTTATTCATGCTAGATTAAGGCTATATGAATATTTTATGTGGTTCTTTGCAATTTTTAAAAATATTCTTAATGTCAAATTTAGGTTTCAAAAATCCTATTAAAAATATTTGGTCTACATCGCAGAGTTCTTGGATTTTCATAGCACTAGATTACCACATGATAATAAAAGTTTTAACCCAACTGATGTGATTAGAAAATCCAAAATGGGAAGACATTAAAAAGGGACATCAAATAAAACTCCCAGTACAAATTAATAAAGATGATTGATTTTTGCTTTTCAAGTGCTTTTTTTTCTTTTTCTTTTTTCTACAGAAGAAAATTTTTGCACACAACTAAGTATGATATTTTCCCCCACAGTGTGCTTGGAGAAACCAAGTCATAATCCTATGGCCACATGTATGATGTTTAAAAACAGATCTGTTTCCATTTTCCTCAGACCAGCCACCTGACATTTCAAAAGATAAGAAGTACTGCTCAGCTTGAATGAACTAAAAAATATCTCTGCAAATGTATTTGAACTCATCTTTTGAAATGTCAGTTTGGGACGAAGTGATATGAGTTATTCATTCGGGTACTGGAATATGTGTTAAGAGTCTAGGCAATTTTCTAAAGAGGGAGAATGAAGATGAAGAATATATTTTGAGTAAATCAAGGAAGTAAAAGTCTATGTGGCTATTATTTCATTAAGATAATTAGTTATCTACTATTAAGATACTTAAACTTTAAATATAAAATACGTTATTATAGAATTTATGTATCAAGATATGCACTTGATTTTCTGAATTTTCCTCTTCAAATATCTTTTTTATTTATTGAATATTTCCTTGGCTATTTCAATTGCTGTTTTGTGTGCATGTTGAATATTTTTGTGTGTCTTAATGTTTCCTTTTTAAAGAGATTTATTATACGATTGGATCTGATTCATCCTGTTTTTGTTGGATAAGGTGGAGGTGTAATGGGAGCAGCAATAAACCACATATCATTAAAAATTAATGATGAAAATTGACTTACCATAGTGTCCAACAATTGCACTTTTGGGCATTTACTCCAAAGATATGAAACTTATTTTCACATAGGAACTTCCACATGAATGTTCATAGCAGCTTTATCTGTAATAGCCCAAAAGTGGAACCTACTCAGATATCCTTCAACAAGTGAATGGTTAAACGAACACTGGTATATCCATGCCATGGAATACTATTCAGCAACAAAAAAGAATGAGCTACTGATATACTAACAACTTGGATGAACCTCAAGGAAATTATGCTGAATGAAGAAAGCCAATTACAAAAGTGTACATACTGCATCAGTCCATTTATGCAACATTGGGAAACAGCATAACAACATAAATGGAGAATTTATTAGTGGTTTCCAGGGGCTATGGATAGAGGGTTATACGTGGCTATAAAGAGGTAACAAGAGGGAATATTTTACTGATTGTATGAGTATCTTGATTTTCCTGGAGATTACACAAGTCTACATACACGTATAATAAAATTGCATAGACACAGACACACATAGACACACACACACACACACACACACATGAATGAGCGCACAACTGTTGAACTGGGAATAAGCTCTATGTGTTACGTCAATGTCAATTTCTTGGTTTTGATTTTGTATTATAAATGTATTATTAAGTTAACGTCAGGAGAGATTTAGGGATTCAGGGAATGGTACATGGGACTTCTTTGTTTGTTTCTTTGGAGAGTCCAATGAATCTCCAATTATTTCAAAATGAAATGTCTACAAAAACTCATGTGTAGTAAAATAATTTTGACAGTCAAAAACTTAAGAGAAAATGCAATGCTGTAAAAGTTTGCATTTTGAGACCTCATTACTTTTTGAGGGTACTAATGTTCACTTCTATTCACCTCCCATTGGGAAGTCTACAAAAGCCGCTGTCCTCAGAATAGTCTACTATGTAAATCTGCAAGATGGGTTCATACACATGCTCATGAGCAAGAGTTTGGAAAAATTTTTTTAAGAACAAAGCGGGCAAGTCCATTCTGCCTTTTGGGCAATTTTTAATTGTTCCTTATAAACACAGAATGGAATCTAATTCTTAGATACAATAATACTGGGAATATATTTTGTAAAGGTAAGGAAAAGGAAGATATAGTTTTTTAAGTAGATGTTTTTGTTCTCTGAAAAATATTGTTTAATATTTAAAATATATGTTTATGAAATACACACCCATTTTCGTACATCTTATTAATTTCCACTTAATAAAAAAATTCTGGTTTAAAAATAAAAAATAATGGGTGGATTCTAAATCATGGTTTTGATTTGCAACTTATGTTCATGCTTAGGCCCTTTGTTGTGTCATGTTCTTCCTCAGCGGCCATCAGCACTGACAGTTAAATTCATTTTCAATTACCAGACAAAAAGGCCTGATAGTATCTTTAATGCAATCAACTAATTTTAGTACCAATCATCGCTAACATTCTAACATTTTCATGTTTATCTTATATCTTTTTTCTTTTTCTTGTGAAGAAGATTCGCCTGAGCTACATCTGTGCCAATCTTCCTCTATTTTGTATGTGGGTCACTGCCACAGCATGGCTTGATAAGTGGTGTAAGCCTGTGCCTGGGATCTGAACCCATGAACCCAGGCTGCCAAAGCAGAGTACAGCAAACTTAACCACTACACCACCAGGCCAATCTCATCTTATGTCTCTTTATCACTTCAAAATAGTTAATGATATGTATTTGACCTATTCATATAGCTTTCATGTCTTTATAAAAGTTTATAAAAGTAACATGGAGGAAACATGAAGGAAAAGTGTTATTTTAGAAGCTGGTTCTATTTTAAGCCAATAGAACTAGGGAAAGCTCTTTATGGGTTTTTTGAGTCATGATTGTTGTGGATCTGTGGAAGTAGGGTTTACTGAAGAAAATGATTTTGGAAATCTTCTGGTTAGTTGAAAAGATGGGAATTTAAGTGCTTGAAGAAGGAAAATATGAAGGGTAGAAAGGAGGAAGCCAGGAAAATGGACACCAGGAAAGAATTTGATGAAAAGCATCACCTTAGAGAAATTCTCTGTGATAATTCAGGCTACAAAATTTTAGGGCACTGAAGTCAAATATCAGTTTTCACTGATTCCGTGATATGATCCTCCGCTCTTTTCACATATTTTAAGAAAATTAGCTACTCATAGCCTACATGTATTGTAGCAAAAGAAGAGGGACATTGTCAGTTATGAGGTGAGCTTGTGTGGAAAGAAAATAGGGGCAAAACTACTGTCAATAAAGTGAGGGGGTTGGAGATTCCAACAGGAAATGTACTGAAACTAGAGGTACACAACAGAAACTATGCCTCCCAGAATTGTCCGATGTTTTGGAAATGTTGTGGACATGCCACAGAAAAAAGATTAAGTCAAACAAATGACTACTTCTAAGTGTTTTTAGATTTAGGGGCAGGGGCTAATTGAAAGAATTCAGTTTTACTAATTTGTGGTTATATAAAGTTACTCATTATCACCATCATTAAACTCTTTTCTGTTCCTTCCTTTCTCCTTCTTTATTATTTTTTCTTTCTTCGGTGCATGTGTGTGTGTTTGTGTTTGTGTATGAGTGGGATTCTTTTTACTTCTGTTTTTCTATTGTTATACAAATAATAAATGCTAATTGTAACAAATACAAAAATAAAAGGAAGAAAAACAAATCCAAATCATCCCACAAGTTATTAAAAAATTTCAGAAATTTTGCTTTGTATTATGCCTTTAAAATTTGATATTATAGAACTATCTTTTTATGTACATAAGTGTGCTTCCAAGCATTTAAATGGTTCCATGGTGTTTTATTGTATAGATGTATTCAACACTTCTTATTGAACATTAGAGTGTTTCTGATTTTTATCCACTAAAAATACCACTATGTTTAATCTTGCAGTCCATTTTAATTAATTTGCTTAATTTTAAAAAACATAATTGCTAGATGTAAATCGACCCACATTTTAAAGGCATTTGATGGCATTGTGAAACGACCCCACAAAAGCTGTTCTAGATTCACTTCCCACAAGCAGAGAATGAGAGCACATGACATTGTCATTGCTAACTTGTACCTAGAAGTCTCTTCCGCCTACAATCAACATTGGTATCAAAAGCTTATTTGCATGTGTCTCCTTTTTTCACTTATGCCATTGAGCAGGTTTATCAGTTTCCCCCTAGTAAACTATAGCTAACTATATTATATAATATGTTCTTGTACGTGTGGGTTATTTTTGAACTTAAAGTCAGAATATGTATTGAGTTTAATAAAAACCTTCCTCTGAATATGAGAAGTACTATAAGCTAATTTTTCACATTTCAACAAATATTTCTGGAGTCCAGAAGATGAGTTAGAATAGGAGGAATTTTAAGCAAAATGAGTCACTCTTATGGTGTATCACTTCAATCTTGTGACTCTTCTGCGAACATTTTTTCTACTTCTTCAGCCTTGAGAGTCATTATTTCAGTGTCCACATCTTCACATAATGTCAATTGTCCAAGATGCTGGAGGCAAACAACAACCAAAGAACTTCCTGGCAAGTCAACTTGGCTCCTCATCAACTACAGCAGCCTTGGCCTAATACTATGTTGCACCGTGGACATTCTTAGCACATTGATATAGGAATAACTGGAGAATAAACCAACCACCACCAACAATAATAAAAATCTGTGGTCCTCTGGCTCACTGTAATTTATTTGAATATCTTATTCCTTATTCTCTGCTACAAAACTCAATTAATACTCATGGACAATGGAGGACTTTATTCTGTTCTCAATATTTATAGAAAAGAAAACAAATGAGTGCTGATTATGATGTAAACATCTTTAATAAATGAAGTTTCTGATGAGTAATACTTTAATGTATGATTAACTATTGAAATAATTTCTATATTTAAACTTATTAAAAGACTAACTCATTATTCTTTAAATTAAACACCCAATAACCAATTAAATTTAAATAAAATTAAATTTAACATTAATAGGTAAAAATGTGGGTCAATAGTAGAGAGAGAGTATTCTAGGACTTCAGAAAAATTCTTAAGAAACAAAATAGCAATGAATAAAAATTAAAATATTTTTTGTTTTCTGTTAATTAAAGTAAAATGCAATATATAAAATAATGAATACATTAACATTATCTTGATTGTGAACTTCAAGAGCTATTGATTACTTAAATATATTTCAGTTAATCTTCACCTCTGGGATCAAAATAATTAACATCACCATATATCTATCCTTTTCAGCAAATCATAACCTGAAAAGTTAACTTCATTGGCGTATCTTATAGTTTCATTAGGGTATCTTATAATTTCATATCGAAAATCTACCATGGGTTAGATTTTTGCTTTGCTTTTGTTTTTTTTCCCAACTTCTCCCAAAGAAAGAATGTAGCCAAGTGACAAAATATTTAAAAGAATTATGTAAAAAGTTGCTAAGATTATACAATAATTCAGGAAAAATGCTCTTTAGCTTATGGGGTTTTATTTAGATTATTTTTGTAAAGACTGTTGCTTATGTTTTTATCATGGTTTCCATGGGCTCTGTGCCATCTGTTTTTGCTAGTATTACCTGTCCACACACCTCAATCTTGTTATTTTCTTGATTTGGTCCACTGTCTCTATTCTACACAAACAAATTGTGTGCATAGTTTTGTGCACATGCTACAGTCTTTTTCTCCAAGTAAAGCTTATTTAGAATCCTTCGTTTCTCGTTTTCTCCTATTCATTTATCTGACCTGTACTGTTTTTTGTACTATGTTTTTTGGCTAATTGCTTTTGGTTTCAAATGAACCTGAAAATTGGAATATTTTTATCTATTATTTCCATTAATGCAGACTTTTTGGGTAGTCCTCTTTTTCTTTTTCTGACCAACCAGTTATTAAATGTATTCTTTACTTCTATTACATTACAATTTTCTCAAATAGAGTCAGTGTCATGAGTTAAAATTTCCACGTCTCACCAGCTGTGAGAGTACTGAGGTCCCCTAACCTTATTTCCTCAGTCTCCTTGTCATTAACATGGGGCTAATAATTACACTGACATCATAGTTGAAGTATCTGCATTAAGTAAAATAATTAATGCAAAACATCACATAATTTTTCACACATAGCAAACCTTCAGTGAATACAGCAAATCTGCTTATTATGATTGCTTTTTGTTGCTCTACTTTGAATGCAGTGAAGATATATTCAGGCTTATTAATACATTAAATATAACTATAATACCTTTTATAGGGTAGTAAACTTTCAAGATGTCTTATCAAGGTGATTCTGAATATCTTTTCTTCCCAAAAGCTTAGTAGGAAAGTCAGATCCAAGCAGAGATCTAGGAAGACAGCAGCCACTTTCACCTCTTGAGGCCATAGCAGTGATCCTTAACAATGAGAAACGCAAACAATAGCACATCCAAACCAGTACTGATGTTGTAGCCTTTTCTTGTGCAAAGCAGGAAGTATAAAGGAAAAAGACAAATCTACCTTTCATGCAATGCTATGGTTCAGTCTAAGTATGCTAAAAGTATTTAATTGCCAAGAAATGAGCACATGGCCAAATAAAAGATCTCCTTTGAGATTGAGGCCCAAACCAAACCACTGTCATTGTCTTCTCTGATTAAGCCTCATTAGATTAAAAAAAAATGACTTTCGTTGCTGTCACTGGGCTTCATTTTACAGCTTTTCATTCTTTCAAAGATATGTAATAAATATTATAAAACAACCATGAGAAAAATGGCTGCTATTTAAGGTGCAGAATACAAAGGATTTTGCATTCTGTATTCTTAGTCACTTAACGAGTTCACTATCTTCGGAGGGAAATCACACAATTACCCACCATAGTGACCAGGGTCTCTTTGACCAGGTTTCCTTTGACATACTTAGTTTATATTCTGTTTCTTTATCCTAATATATATACTTAAAGTTTTTAGATAATTTGCTCCAGTTTTTCATTAAGAAAATATTGCAAATTGTGTTGATTGACAACAAATCACAAGCTATGGATACTTTGAGAAAGAGAACCAAATCACTTCTTTTTGAGAAAAGAAAAAATCAGCTTTAAATGGCTGACTCTCCTTGAACACTGGGTAGGATTTAGATGAAAGCAATGTGTGTGGGGGGGGAGAGGGTGTTACATATCTTTGGGGGTGGAACTTCTGTAGAACGGAGTGACAGACGTAACAATAGAGAGGTACGAGACAATTTAGGGGACATGGAATTTAAAATTTTAGTGTAAAATAGAAAAATTTGTTTAAGCCCTTTGCAGTTGAAAGCTTTAAATTCTAGGCTGCAGAAATTTGGTAATTTGGTAGTAAATGGTAAATAGTTGGAAATAGATGAACAAGGTAGTAACATAGAAGGCAGAGGATATGGAAGATAAGGAAGCTTGAAGTCATCTTCAAATCCCTCATTTCACTGATGAGGATACTGAGGCCCACAGCAGTGAGGGAAACAGCTCAAAGCCACATTAAACTGCGTACGTCTCACATGAGCACTATTATGTATTCCTAGGCGTTAGATAGCTTAGTTGACATTCTGTTTAGATATTTTTAAGTAACTTAACTATAAATTTGGGAGGAGGAGTTTACATTTGGAATGGTCTTCAAATAGACACGTACATTTTAATTTTGTGTCTCACTGTGAGGCTTTTTGCCAAACTGGAAGACTGATTCACTGCCATTCTTCTAAATTTGCTTCATGCATTTGGAGCACATTGTAATAGAAAGAAGCTGCTTTTAGATTTCTGGTGCCAAAACATTTCACGAAAAAAAAAAAATCAAAGATGAGCTTCCACCTCTTTACAAATTACATCACTGCAGCTTTATTCTTTCATCTTTTTTTGCAAATATTTAAGCAAAAAACAAATGTCATCAGCTAAAGATCAGGAGAAATTTATTGTGAAGACAAACAGCACTCTAGATGTCAAAGCTGGTGAGCAGACTCGCCTTTATTAGATGTGAATGCAAGCCCAGTCTTGACAGGAGTTACTATACACCAAATTAAACAAGATGCCTTTCTTTTAAAATCACATGTTTTGGTTCATACTTACTTTGCAGCCTTCTTTTTTTAGTCAGTATACTAAAATTGCCCTTCACACGTATCTTTTTGAAAGAACGAGTGGAAAACTGAAGAAAAATTTAAAAGCAGGAGAAGACATAAAAGTGGTGAAGCATAGAAAATTAATTGTTTTAAACTGTTTTTTCTTAGTTATTTGTCTCTCAGTGCAGAACACAAAAAATTAAAATTATTTTTTAAAAAACCGAAATTATTTGACCCGTGCTAATTTCACCAGAATTAATTGCGTGGATCTGCGTATCATATAATTTCTAAAACACTAAAACACCCTATTAATGACTTAAATCATCACATCTTAAAGTACCTGGCACGCTACAGACCTCCATAAGCTAAGTTCTTTGACTCCCTGAAACCTCACTCATAGCTACCATCTCTATATTTAGAAATTCTACATTTACTTCTGAAGAAAATGTTGACTATCCCATTCCAGCCGCCAAAGTCTTGGAAGAAGAGGAAGGGTCAGCAGCAGTGAGCAATATGGGTGGTTAAGAAACTAGCCACGGACTCGCAGAGCCTGCGAATGCGTGGCTATGTGACGACAAGGTTGTTGATGCCACAAGCCTGTGATGGGCAGCAGGCAATACATATGCCAAAGCCAAGGACCAGCTTCTCTAAGGGCTGCTGGCTGAGCTGGGGCTGATTTCCCTTCCGCCTCCCGGGAACCCCGTTCCCCCTGGCTGTCCTCGGGAGGATTCTTCGCCCTAATTATCCGAGGAGGAAGACGCGCTTTTCCCGGAGACCGCTAGGCAACACTCACCACGGCAGCCTCCAGATTACTTCCCTCCGTGGGTGTGTGACTTCGTCTAAGCAACTCACACTTACAGTAGATTCTCACTGGCGAGGCTGCGAGCAGCAGAGGGCGGGAGAGCTGGGCAGAGGAGGGAGGAGGGTGGGAGGTGCAGAGCGGTGAGGCAGAGGAGACGACGGAGCTGCAGACACAGCAGGAGCGCGCCGTGGCGGTGCAGTCGCAACCTCGCCTTCCCAGCCGCGAACACGCCGCCTCCTTCCCAGCAGCGGGCCCCGCAGCTCCCGGCCGCCGCCGCCGGGTCCGCGCTCCTGTCGGCTCGCCACCGCCAGGACCTCCCCTCATCACACCCAGCCCGCCGCGATTTCCTCCTGCCAGCCAGCCTCTTGGAACTCTCGGGATCTTTTCCTTTGCTCGCCTCTTTCGTATTTTCTCCGTCCAGTATTTTCTCAACTCGTTTTCCTCTATCCTGAGCCACAGTGCTTTTTTCTCTTTTTATTGAGGATTTCTATTTGACTTAAAATGACTTGTCTTCCTTACCTTCGTGCGTTTCAGCCCTGAAGACTGAAAAGGAGGCTGTATTTTTTCCCCCTCAGTGGCACTTGAAGACCTCAATCCTTAAAAGTCTAAGAGGCAAAGGAACAGAACGCGGGACCTTCTGGAGACCCTTCAGTTCAATCCAGAACTGCACTAGCAACCATCACTAATATTTTATTTACCCCCCCCCCCCCGCCCCCGGAGAGGAGGCAGAGAGGAGCGGAAGCAAACTTCAGCGGTCTCCAAGGATCCGTGGTTCCTGCATTTGGAGAAGCCCCGTGCCAGAAGGCGGAGGACCCCACGGGGAACGAGGAGGAGCCACGAGCCTCCCCTGTCCCCTCTGCGAGGCCGGAGCCGTGGACTGAGCCGCGCGGGACAGCAGCGGCAGAGGCGGCAGGGTGAAGATGCGGGGCTCGGGGCCCCGGGGTGCGGGACGCCTGCGGCCCCCGGGCGGCGGTGGCAGGAACCCCCCCAGCCCCCCTGCGTCTCTGGCCGGCTGCTACTCCGCCCCTCGCAGGGCCCCCCTCTGGACGTGCCTTGTCCTGTGCGCCGCGCTCCGGACCCTCCTGGCCAGCCCCAGCAACGAAGGTAGAGCGGGGGGGTGGGGACCGAGGCGACCAGGGGCGGAGGGGTGAGGCGGGGCCTGGAAGCGCGGGTCCGGGCAGGCGCTGGCCGCGGCTGCCGGGGACCACATCGCACTCCTCATCTCATCTCGAAGGAACATCCGTGGTCCGCTCTCGCTAGCCTTTTCACTCGCTCCTTGCGCACTCTGGGTGCATTGTTTGACATGAGGCGCGGGGTGCTGGGCGAGGACCTGCCTGTGGACAGAGGCTGGTCGGGGGGCTGGGAAGTTAGAAGCTGGGGGAAAGAAAGGTCAGAGACCCGCGCCAGGAGGTTGGGTGCGGCTGGGTGTCACTGCAAGCGCATGGAGAAGTGACATTTCGGGCTGGAAGGAGTGGGAACTGTTTGAAACGCGGCGACAAGGATCTCAGAAGAGATGAGGCTTTTAGAAACCGTTATTTGAGGCCGGCGGTGGGAAATATTGTGGGGGTGGCTGGATGCTTTTATTTTGGGGGAAAGTGCCTTCTGGGAGCTGTTATTTAGGGCATCACCAGCTGCTATTCTGGGGTGGGTGGCAAGAGCTGTTACTTCTTGAGGGAAGGGGAGGGCGAAGGACAGAAGGTGCCCCACACTATAGGTTGCCCTTCACTTTGTGGGGCTCCTAGTCACACTGAGGCGAAAGTGGAAGAAGGCGGGAAGGTGGGATGCCGCGGGAGGCGGAGGGGGTGGGGGAAGCGTCGTGCCAGGAAGTTGCTGCTGGAACCCACCGAGGCACGTCTCTCTGGGTTTCCGAGAGGGAAAAGCCCGGCTCCGGCCAGGCACCGGATGCTGGAATCCCCTGCCCTCCTCCCCACCCCCAATCCTGCGCTCCGGACCCAGGAGACTGTCCCCGCCTTCCGCTGGGAGGGCAGGGCCGGCGCGCGAGCAGCACCTGCGCGGCGCTCGCTGCCCCGGGAGCCGAGCTCAGCCCCGCGGCCCGGCCCGCAGCGCTCGGCCGGCAGCCCGCGGCCTCCGGCCACCCCAGCCGCGCTCGCGGCTCTCACCCGGCTCGGTGTCAGCTCTAGGGCGCATCCCTCTAGGGTGGGGGACAGCATCTCCGACCCCGATTAGGGCTACAAGAAGCGGTCAGCTCCACCGTGAAAACTCTACCCCCTCGGCTGGAAAGCTGAGGTTTCGATTTGGGGCTCCAGATGCCACGAGTGAGGCACAGCACCTTTAAAAATACCTTCCATTCCTGGGGCAGGGGACGCTGGAGCGGAAAGAAGCAGCCGCAGCCGCGGAGTCTTGTGTGTCCTCGTGACTTGCGCGGGTTGTGTCTTGGCTGTAGGAGAAGGCGCTGAGCTGGATTCGGAGCGCTGCCAGCTCCCTGGGAACCGTGTGAAAGCAGGGCAGATCGAGACTCGCCACCCCACCTCATGAATTTTTCTCTTGGACCCCTAAATTTATTGTTTAAAATCTGATTTAAGGATTATATATAGCTCGCTCTATCAATCATCTATCTATCTGTCTATCTATCTATCTATCGATCGATCTATCTATCCATCTATCTGCAGTCTCCCATGCTGAACCCAAGCAATCTGCATTTTTTCCCTTCCCCATAAAGTTGAAGAAGTGTTTCCTGAAGTCGTAGCTCTTTATTAACATCTCAGTTAGATTCATTGTGTTAGAAGTCTGGAGGATTATGGCAGGATTAGGAGTCTTTTTACTAACTGTTTTATTCCACTGAAAGGGGCACACTGGTTTGGATTTAAAGAGTAATAGTAATGTCATTTATCCTTTCGTGTTCCCATTATATTTCAGTTTTTTCCAGGTGTGATGGAGGAGGGGGCCTATGTAGAGATGGAAGGGAGTAGTAGCTCTTGGTTAGAAAACGGGAAGAAATGAAGTCTCAGGGAGGGTGACCCTGAATGGCAACAAGGGCCAGGACTGTGCAGGGAGGACGCAGAGGAAGGAAGAAATGAAGGGAAGCAAGGAAATAGCACCCGTCTCCTAAAGCGGTGTAAGCTGAGCTTGAACGTGCGCAAGGTAGACGGACTGATATTACAGACTTCACCCCCACACGTAGTGCTGTGCCCACCCCAGCTAGTGGAACACACGGCAAACTCGGGCTACAGTGAGGTGGGGGTTGCAAGGGTCTAACCAAAAATGAGCGTGCCTTACCACGCAGTGCCCTGGAGATACGAAAAAGAAAAGCGAGTCTGCTGTTTAGGCACATTTCAGAACATGTCACTATTTTACTTAATTAGAAATAAAATCCCGTTTATATATATGACTTCATCTAGTTCATTCCATCTCTGCCCAGCACAGTTTTCCATCCTTCCATTAGTATCAGCCCAGACCTTTATTTCTGTTCTTCTGTAAAATTTATGTTCTTCTCTTCTTTTTTGTTTCTCCATGATAGTGCTATTATAACAAGAATATATGAAGAAATTTATACCAGCAATCAGTTTGTTTATTTATTTATTTAAAGATTCAGATTGGAGTTTTAAGTTTGTTTTTGATTGTTTCTGGAAGTACTTTGGAAGATCAGGGGCATAAAGATTTGATGTGTACACTGAATCCATTAATAACTTGCTCTTATATGCTTTGCTTTCTGCAAGCTATAGACGCTTAGTGATTTCCCAAACTGTAGTATGTATATGTATATATATTATAAATGTGTCTTAATATGAATGCTCCTATTATGTGAGGGAAAAATTTCAAGGCAGATAGAAATAAATGTGAGTTTACATTCATAACCGATATTCTACTCATTTTTTAAGTTTAACTTTCATAAGCATAAATAAGCAGAATTGAACAGAAAAAGCCAAACATCTAGAATCTTGGATTGATATGAAATTCATGTCAGAATATGTTGGATCATAGATAATAAGAGGAAAATTTATTCTTTAGCTTGAATTCTAAGATAAGATGAATATTCTTTAGTTCTCTTGGCATATATATTAGGCATAAATTACATGTGGAAGAAACCTTTGAACTACAGTATAAAGCATAAAACTTTTTTATTATAAAATAATTCAGAGGCATATTTAGCAAAAAACTTATCTAAGATTGATCAGATAGGGCAAATATTAGCAAGTGTATCAACAAGTGAAAATTTTAAGAGATTTAATAGTAAGGGAAGCATGTCCACTGCTATGAATATTGGAGGTGGCCCTGAACTTATTCAGTAACTGCCACTTTTTGCTGTCTGGAGATATATTTGTAAACAAGCATTATTTGACAAGTGCTTTTCGCAGCGGGGATTCTTGGCCAATTACTGCTGAACAGCCCTGCATTGAAAATGATTCACCCGCAGTGAATCAAGCTTAATTCATTGAAGCCACAGTCAGTAATGTCCCAGGCAAGTGCTTCTGACAGTTGTCAGCAGTTTGTATTTGAAGTCTAGTTTCTTGTCTCTGAATGTTTTGTATGTTTAAGAAAGTGGGATGAAGGGGCTCTGGGGAAAAAGAAAACCTGCAAATGCACACACATAAGGGGAAAAAACTGGGGGCGAAACTGTTTGAAAAACAATTATAAAATTGTAGATGTTTTCAATGGAAAGGAAGAAAGTTTGTTTTAGGGTTTTTCTTGGTTTATAATAGGACCAGGCCCATAAAACAGATTGGACGACATAATAGATTTGTAAAACTAAATGGCTTTGTTTTGTGGCCTTGTCATCCTGTTGTAATTCACTTCCTTTTAGATAAAACAACAGGACCCCACAGAAAAGGGACAGTAAAATCATTCCCTCACCAGGACACTACTGAACCAAAAAAGAGAGCCATTACCCCTATTTGAATCATAGATTGTTGGAACTAGAAGGGAGCATGAGTTTTGGCCTTTTGCTTTATAAACTGTGAAAGGGGGCAGAAGGTTGGGTCTTGAAATTTTAAGCCTTTTTGGAGATGACAAAGACCTTCTTGGGTGTCAGGGTGATAACTAAGAGGATTTCATTTCCTCATATAAGACAGAAGAGAGGACAATTCCTGCATTTACAATAGAAATTTCTCCCTCGATTGAAAATATTCTTGTTGTTATATGGTCACTTGTAAGTACTATTAATTCTTTCTTTCATCCCGCATAGGAAATAATTGGTATGGGAAAAAGCTTTGTCTTTTTTTACTTAGAAATGCATTACTCACCATTATTTATATTGTTAATTCTCTGCTCTGCAAAATGTGACCGTATAGAGTACTTCTACACAAAATATCAAAATGACATGATATACCTTTTTGTAGACCAATATCCCCAAACTATTTAATTAAATATTAGACTTTTTCCAGTGTCACTACCATTGAGAAAATGACTATGCATTAATTATTTTCACTACATTTTTGTTGATTGACTTGACCACTTGAATCTCCTTTGTTTGGAGTGCTTTTTTTATGGATTTGTTTGAATGACTAATCAGTTTCTCTTTCATTTGCAAGAAACCTTTCCACCTTTGGCTGTAGAAGTAGAGTGCAATGTGCATGATTATATTAAGTACCTATAGCTATTTTTTCTTTTATGATTCAAACTTGATATTCTTTTTTTAAAAACGGAAAATGTGTTCTTAGCATCCTGAAGAAATAACTACTGTGAAAAGTATTGATAACTCTCCATGTTTTATTTTTTCAATTTAAATTAGCAGATATATTCCATTTTACTAGTGAATACTTTGAATTTGTTAGCAGAAGTACTTAATTACTCAAAGATGATTATAGCATTTTTAACAATATTAAAATAGTTTTACAGTTGTTTTCATAAAGCATCAAAATTAACTGGTTTGAATAACCAGCCTTGCTTATTGATCATTAAAAATTGATTGCAATATTTGTCCTTTTTTTCCTTGTCAGAAAGAGTGAATGTTGACTTTAAAAGCAATATGAAAGCTAAAAATGTAAATTGTTATCTTAGAGACTCAGAATGATTCTTGCTGTTCTAGTATCTCTGGTGAGTATGTATTTAGCTACAGAGCAGAATAGCTCTTACTCGTATGTTCTACCGGGTAAACACATACTTAGTTATTTTATCAAAATTGATATAATTAGTCCATTAAATAG